CTGGAAACACCTGCTCTCGGGATCCTGAGACATTTAGACTGCACTCCAAAGGATTTTGTTTAAACACAATTCCAGTTTAAATGCCTAGTAAACAGAAACTAGTTCGTTTCTAACGATTGCTTTTGTCCCCACCTGAGCAGGTGATGCAATGGTTTGTGGCATCTGCCCAGTCCATCCCAGGATGCAAACATTCTCCCCGTGTGCCCTTCTGGTCCCTAAGCAGTTTTTCTCTCTGTCCCTGTTCCCCTCCCTTTCCCCTTCCATCCCTCCCTCTCTCTCCTCCTCCTGTCTTTCCTTTTCCTTTCTGTTCTTCCTTTCCTTCTCTTCCTTCCTGTCAGTAAAAATTACACCCACGCTGTGTAGAGAACTAGCCACTGATTGGCTCTCACAGGACTCAGAACTGATGGAGGAGGGCAGGGGAAGGACAGACACATTATATGACCACAAACGGTGACACAGCGGCCTCTAACAAAAGGTCAGTGAAGCCTGGGTCGAAAGCAGGCTTGGCTTGCCACCAGCTACTACCTTGATAATTGTAGAAATTAGAGAATGGAACAGAGAGTGCTGAATTTTTTTTCCCCATACATAAAAAACTTCAAGACTTCTTAGCTTCTTCAGCCATGGAGTCAAGGAATGCCATCATCTTTTTGCAAGAGCTATCAATGGTTCCCTGCTGTATCTAACTCCCTTCCCATATAACTATGTAGTCATCGAAGAGATAGATTCAAACTTCCTGGTTCACTTGTCAGGCTTATCCTGGAAAATTGTCTGTGCCTCACTGAAGCCTGAAGCCTTATTGAGAAAGCACTTCAAGTCCCACGTGTCTGTTAAAGCTTCTCTCCAAGTGGACCGAGCAGGGTTTCGGTGCCAAGGAAGAAATGGCCAGTGCATCCTCATCCTTGCCCCATGGAAGACAGGCACTACATGCATGTGAATTAAGTGATGGATAGAGCAATATTTAATTTTTTTATTTCACTTGTTCTCTGATGGTTCTCCTTCCCACAGTAACATAGGACATGTTTTTCCAGCTTTAACATTGTTTGTATAACATAACAAAATGAGACTAAATTATACTCCAGGCCCCTTCAGCTTTAGAATTCTACTATCAAGTGATTTTAAAATACAACATAAACTTGAGTGATGGGCGAAAACATGTTTTCATTTGACTTGCTTCATTTCTAGTGCTCAAATTGGTAGAAGCAGCATGTTTTAAGACCCTGGTTTTTTTAAAAAAGAAAAAAACTGAATGATATTTGGAAAGATACCTAACCAAAAACACTTAGAAAAAGAAATTAGTCATCAAATTATGAAAAATGCTCTTAATGCCATTTTAAAAATCAGGAATTAGACAGTAGTTTTGGACCCAGCTTATTTCATTCCTAGCATGCTGGTTAACATCCTCATGGCGTCAGGCAAAAGGTTTATTCTGTTTTCCTTTCTGTACTCTCAGTGAAAATCAAGACCATTTCAATAGTGTTTTAAATTATTTTCATTACCTATATTAATTTTTTTCCTATTTAGTAACACCTGAAGTAAATAATACTTAGAAAACCAGAATTGAATATATTTTAAGATGGTGATAAATTTCCATCGAGATCTGGTCACTTTCTTTTTTTAGAGAAATTTTTGCAATAAGGTGTGTGTGTTCGCCAGAGAGACAGAAAAAAGTGATAAATCACCCCCCAGGGGGGTAGCCACTCTGCAATCTCTTCTCCTCCATCCTCCTCTTGAGATTTTGGGCATGCACACACATGTGCCCAGCATGAGCTTCAAGCCACCAGGTCCAGGACTCAAACCACAGTCAGCCATGTGGGAGTCCATCAACATACCCATTATGCCACCTGCTGGTCTCAAGATTTGGTTGCTTTCTAAATTGTACTTTGTATCCATCCAAGAGTACAAATATTCAGACTTGATGTCAGTAGCTTGTACACATGTTGGTGATTTTTGTGATAGTGTATTATGATTTAGCTTCACGAGACATTTAATTTACAAGCTTCTGAAGAAAAAAAGAAAACTCTATTTCATGCTTTAAATTAATTTAAAATAAAAAATGTCTTGAAAACCCATTCCTGGCACTTACTAGGATGGTAGAGTACTCTCGTGAATCGTACTAGATGAAAAGATGCAGATTGCAAGAACTCAAGGGACAATAACATGTTTTTAGGCATCATTTTCACCCTTCATTTGTTTGAGAAAATGGATAGTAATTAAATATCATGGAGCATTTTCTTTTCTTATAGAAAATTTCATGATTGGCTTTATCTTGCTGTCTCACAGTAGTTTGCACAGTAAACAGTCTTAGGTTTGAAATGGTTTGATTAGGATAATTTCTCTCTTATTTCTTCCTTATTAGTCCATCATTTTAACACCCTCTTCTATTTGAAGTAGTGAAAGATAAAGATGTCAGAATGAACTTTGCAGGATGAAGTCATTTTTCTCTATCCAATTGGCAACTCTCATGTTTCCACCATATCCTGGGTTTTGCTCATTTTTGGAGGGATTAGAGCTTCACTTCCAGTAGGAATTCAGAATGTATACTTACAGGCTGCAGGGGAGAAGCCAGTAGATATAGAATGGTTTACTATATAGAAGAAAGATAATCAATGACACTAGATTCTTGAAACAGGTCCTGGAGATGGATCTGAGAGTGCAGGATTCTACTGTTATCTGAGGAAAGAAGATGAAGGTAGTCACAAAATGTAGGTGTTTACAGGGTTTGTAGGTAGAAAGTTTGACCGTACGGAATACAAGGTGAAGCTATTTGCTTTAGAGAGAGGGTTTGCATCTTGGGACTTCCTGAGTATGCCAAGCATTCACGCACGTGCTGGTGCTTCAGGATGGCTAAGACTAGGGGTGCCTCATGGCATAGGGTCTTAACCCCCTGGTAGGGGTGCTGTCTCACTCTGCCTTTCTTCTTTCATCTCCTCCCTCCCTCTCTCTCCCAAATCAGGAATTAATAAATAAGTTTTCCAAAATAAATGACAATAAAGACATCAAAACATAACTAGATTATAGTTTTATGAATTAATTTGAATTACAGAACATAGACATATATAAGTCTTTTTTATTTTAATTTTTCTGTTTACTTCTTCTTTATTTATCATATCTCTCTAGGCAAACATCATGGTCAACAGCAGTTCCTAACCTTTGAGGTTTAATAAGAGTTGTTATTGTAATACCAAAGGTAGAGATTTGGGCATTTATATAACATTGGAGAGTCTTTTTATCACTACTGGTATTTAGTACATATTTGAGAGGAAAAATTTTACCTGCCAGCACTATTAGCAAGAGTGATCCTTAAAGATCAACAGCTTGCTTCTTATTTTGGACTCTGATAGAAATGGATAGCGTTAGTTCATTTGACTTGATTTGTGAAGGGGATAGATGGCAGTGAGGGCAAGTATAGGGGATTATAATTGTTTTTGTTTTCGTTTTTTTCTGAAAATGTGTAAAACCAGACTGTAAGAAGAAGACAATAACATCCTTTAAGCTTTTATTACTAATTAGAAGGTCAGCCCATGGCCTGGTGGTTAAAACCAGGTTAAGATCCTGGATGGCCAACTGTGCAGTTCAAGTCTCAGACCCAGTGGCTTGAAAAATCACACTGGGTACATGCGTGTGCCTGCCCAAAATCCCAAAAGGAGGGAGGAAATGGAGGAGAAAGGCTTGCAGTGTGACCATGCCCCATGACGGGGCTTTCTCACTTCCCTTCTCTCAGTCTCTGTCTCTCTCTAGCAGTCATACGCACCCTCTGGCAAAATAAACAACAACAAGGTGGTGTGTGCATGCACGTGTGTCTACGTATGTGTTTTCTTTACAGGCAAAATGGAAGTTTATTTAGCACTGTGTCTTCTTTCTGATAAAATATGGGAGGGTAAAAAGGAAGTTTTCAACTTTAGAAAACATCTGCTATAAGTTTGTAGCAAAATGTCAATACAATGGTAGTAGGTAAGAGGGCTTCACAAAGGTCGTATAAAAATGGAATTAAAGTACAAGTTTGTTCTGGTATGAAGATATCATTGAAATCCCTGCATCGTGTTTTCATAATACTCATTCTCCTTGAACTGTTTGAAGACTCCTTCGTATTTACGTTGGCTTTAGGCCTTTTTTATACTAGTGAACCTAAAAACTACCAGAAATAATAGAATCAAACTTACTTTAAATTTGACTTATTTTCCTACTAGTTGGGTTTTTTTTAAGAGGGGAGGAGTTATGTTGGAAGGGATGCCATACAGAAAATCTTTGTGAACTCTATGAATTGTGTAATCCATGTTGAAAGATACATACATCTATTGTGTGTGTGTGTATGTGTATATACATATATGTGTGTGTGTGTGTGTATATATATATATATATATATATAATGTATAATATGTATATATATGCATATATGCCACCTCCTTTTATGTAATTTTACCTATTTTTAAAATGTATGATAATATCAATAGCTGAGCCTTCTCCTAATCATTAAATTTTCAATTTTTCTTTCAGCAGAAGAGGTAGAGACATGATTTTATTTTACTATTTATGCCTTTTTGTAATATTAGTCTAAAAAGAAAGTAGTAGAATATAGTCTTTAGAGCAGAGAACACAGCGGCATTTTCCATCGGCATGATTTCAATGGCTACCCGCAAACTTACGTTGTCCACTTAATCCTAAAACCAAGTCACACTAACGGATGGGCCTTAGAATCACTGTGAAATCTGTGTGGGGTAGATATTTCTATCGTCAGCCTTCCTTAGCTATTTAATTCTTATCTATCAGCTTTTGTAAACACGCCTCTTAGGTATGTGCCATTTCTTATTCTCAGCAATTTTTTTTTAAATAGTGTGATGTTTTTTATCTTTTATGAAATTGCAGAGTTGTGTTTACTCCCCATTCATTCCACTCATTACATGCACTTTCATGGCTTCTAAATTTTTGTCTTTTAGGTTTTAGAAAGAGAAGTCCAACTCTGGTCGTGACCTTGTCCTTGTTTCCTTCCTCTGTGTCCGTAGGATGAATACAAGCCAGAAAAAGCCTTGTCTGAAGAGGACCTGAAAAACGCAGTGAGTGTGCACCACGCCCTGGCGTCGAAGGCCACGGACTATGAGAAGAAGCCGAACGTGTTCAAACTGAAAACCGCCGACTGGAGGGTCTTGCTTTTTCAAGCCCAGTACGTTTTATTGGTTTGGTTTGGTTTTTACTTGTTGCAGTTCTTCAGTTTGGTTAGCACCACTTTATACCAAGGAATAGAATCGGGCTCTGCATGGGAAAAGCTTTGTGTCAGACTCAGCCGTGAACCGGTTACAATGGAGAGACACCTACCTAAAACAATTAGGATGAAAAACCGAAACCCAGGGCTCAGTTTTCATCCATTACAAAGTAGCCCTGTGACCTTTAGTCCATGTCTTGCCATCTCTAGAACTCAGTGTCCTCTCATTAATTGTGAGGGCTTGGTAGACAAGCTCTAGCACAAAAATGAGTAGAATAGACAGGGATTTAAATTGCCACCTCCTCACTTTTTCTCCTACCACACAATTTAACTTCTTTGAGCCTTGGTTTATCCCTAGTGTAGGTTAATAATGTTTATTTCTCAGGTCTGCGTAAGGATTAAATGCAGTCAGTGTAAAATGCCACACACCATGCCTGGCACATAAAAACTTTTCAGTAAATGTAAATTTTCATTATTCTTCCATTTCTCTTTTCTTCTGAACTCTACTAGGCCAATTTTTTAAAAAGAATTATTTAATTTTATTCATCATCATTTTTCTTATTTTAATTTGACCAGAGAGAAACAGAGACAGAGAAAGAGAAAGTGAGAAAGCAAGCCACCAGGTCCAGGACTTGAATCATAGTCAGCCTTGTGGGAGTCCAGTGCACTTAACCACCACGCCACCTGCTGGCCCCTACTAGGCCGATACTATACTACTGGAAAAGATAAACTCATACTGTATGCAGTGATGCAGGGTGGATCTGCAGTTTAAGGAAAGTGCCCAGTGACAGACTGGAATTAGAGGTTGAGCCTTTCACATGGACATCTCTGGTGTGTGAGTGAGAAACTGGGCTTTCAGAACTGAGTCTTTTTTTTTTTTTTTTGGAGAGGTTTTTGCTATAGGGCACGTGCGCTCACCAGACAGACAGAGAGAGACAGAGAGATAGAAAGTGAGAGATCACCCCCCAGGAGAGATGACCACGCCACAATCCCTTCTCCTCCATTCTCCTCTTGGGATCTTGGGCATACATGAACACACCAGGCATGAGTTTAAGCCACTGGGTCCAGGACTCGAACCACGGTCGACTACATGGGAGTTCAGTGACATAGCCATTACGCTAACTGCTGGCCCTAGAACTGAGTCTTTAGAACAGAGTTTCATAGGGTCACACATAGCAACAGGGGCTGCAGTAGATAGTGTTAATCACTCACAGCTCCAGCGTGACTCCGCATCACTCGGTAGAGCACGGTCAGCTGACCCCAGGTGGCACAGGGATTCAAATTTTACAGCTAAGTAGTGAACACGGGCATCCGCGTGTGTGTTGGTCAGAGCAACCCAAGATCACGGCATGAGGAACAGGAACAAGAGCAGGTCATCTGTGGATATTGAACTCTTGATGGTGTAAATTGCTGACAGTGAGTGAGGAAGAAGTTATAAGGACTCGAGGTCCACAAGGGTTTTTGAGTGGAAATGAGACAGTTCACACCACAGGGGCGTCTGTAGCCAGGTGCGTCCTTGCAGATACTGGGCGTGAACTGTCTTTTGAATTATTCTAGTCTTAAATTGTTTTAAAACTCTAAAATATCAGATGTAACAATAAAAGAGATAAACATTATTTTAGGGAGAATCTATGAGAACATCAATCATTTGAAATAAGGGAGCCAGTGAGATGAGACTGGGGCAGGTGGAGTCAGTGAGGAGTGGAAAGTTCTGGTGTGGGCTCAGGTGAGTGTGGTTTTCTCAGGGTCATAGGAGAAGGAAATGATTTTTGGTTTGGCTGACATTTTTACTGCTTTCTATCTGTTGATCATGTACCTGGTAGATAATCTATCCTGGTTCATGAGTCTACCATTCATTTATGAATTCACAAATATCTTGGAAGTGTAGTCAGTGCTGAGCTTTCTCTTTTTTTGATGTCTATTTTATTTTATTTATTCATCTGTTTATTTTAATTTGACCAGAGAGAAACACAGAGAGAGAGAGAGAGGGAAAGTGAGAAAGGAAGCCACCAGGTCCAGGACTCGAACCGTGGTTAGCCATGTGGGAGTGTCCAGCGCCTTAACCACACACCACCTGCTGACCCCAGTGCTGAGCTTTCTGATACAATGGCACAAATAAATATGACATCAGATGATTTTACCTTCTTTCTGGTGGATTTTTTTTTAACAACCTTATTGTAGGTATATACTTTACATAAGAGTTCCCACTAGCAACTTTACAAAATGGCTCAGCCATCACCACAGCCCAGCTTTGGAATCCTTCACTCTCGGGCCCATCTTGCAGTCACTCTACTGTCCTTCCAGTGCCCGGCACCCACTGGCCTCCTTTCTGCCTCATTTGCGTTGGTCGGATGTTTGCCATAATGGAATCACAGGACACGTGTGGCATAAAGCTTTGGAGGTTCATCCACGCTGTGGTATGTCTCGGTCCTTTAGTCCGTTATTGCTTCATACGGGCCCGCACGTGGATAGTCCACGCTCTGTTTATCCACTGACCAGGTGGTGGACATCTGGACCCTTCCCCACCTCTGACTGTTAGACACGATGATGCTATGAACATGGATTTGACGAGCTTTGTGTACCTGTATGTTTTCATTTCTCTTGGGTACCTACTTAGGAGTAGAGTTGTTAGGTTGTATGATAAGTATACAGTGCACTTTTGATGAAAGTTTTCCAACTTTTCCAAAGTGGGTATAGCCTTTTACATGTCCTCTCTCAAAGTAAGCCTCGGTTGGAATTTAAAGTTGAATTATGTGATTTAAAGAAGTGAGTTAATTTTTAAGTTCATTTTGACCTAGCCTAGTAGCAGACAGAAATTAGGGATTTAATAAATATTTATTGTCAAGTGATTTCTTTTATTTCCTTCCCTATCCTGGGGAGATAATCACAGTCTTACACTGATGACCAGGGGTTCCAGGGCCTTTTACTACCACGGTGATTGCTGTTAAGAATGTTAATCTCTAATGAAGTTTCATCAGGAGTTTATTGTACCAGGGGGAATAAATGATTTTTTTCTACCCTTTTAAATTAGTAATGAGACATGGACACAGCATGATGCACTTATATATAGAAATAGCTTAACACTGGGACCAGCAGATGGTGTGTAATGGTTACGTTGCTGGACTCCTATGTAGTCAACCACAGTCTGAGTCCCAGACCCGGAAGCTCAAGCTCACACTGGGTGTGTCTGCATGCCCAAAATTCCAAGAGAAGAATAAAGGAGAAAGGATTGTGGCATAGCTATCTCCCCCACCCCCACTGGGGGTGATTTCTCCCTTTCTGTATCTCTCTTTCTGTCTCTCCAGCGAACACCCTATAGCAAAAATCTCACTTAAAAAGAGAGAGAGAGAGAGAGAGAGAGAGAGAGAGAGAGGGAGAGAGGGCTTAACCTCCATATATCTGTGTCCCATAGGAGTCCAGAGGAAATGCAAGGGTGGATAAACAAAATTAACTGTGTGGCAGCTGTGTTTTCTGCACCACCATTCCCGGCAGCCATCGGCTCACAGAAGAAGTTTAGCCGCCCACTCCTGCCTGCCACAACAACAAAATTGTCTCAGGTAAGTCATTTGGAGAGTGCTTCGACCTTGAGAGTCCTCTGTAAAATCATGCTATTAATACTTATATTTGAATATTTATATTATGGGAACTGCCGAGAGAGCTTGTCCATAAGGGAGTATTGTAGAAAGAGGGCAAAATGCACCAGACTGGGTCTCACACTTTGTATGGGAAGGCTATGCAATTGGGTTATGGTTGGTAGAACACATCTTTAATTTTATTTCTAAACCTTCTATTTGTTTGCTATTCAACCAGTCATAGTTGTCTGGAATTTTTTATTTTTTACTAGCAGCTCATAGTTTTTAAATGACCCCCTATTGTCAGGTAGCCACGTTGGCTTGGTTATAAGCCTTTCTTTTCTTTTTCCAAAGTTTGTCCACCTATATAGTCCATGGAGCAGGGGCCAAGCCTAACAGGATGTTCACTCCACAATCCACCACTAGTGTCAGCTAGCTCCGATCACAGGCGTGCACTCACACACCTGGTGTGCACAGGGAGGTCACAGAACACAAAGCCAGGACCTTTCCCTGGGGGTCCATGACATTATAACCAGGCCTGGCCCCCACAAGCTTTCCGTTCATTCGTTAATTCACCCTGCCGGCCATTTGCTGTATTCCAGGCTGTAGTTGGTCTACAGACATAAAAATATCTGCAAGAGTCCAGTGTTCACAGCATAGTGGGTCAGGGCCTTCCCTTCGCCCAGGGTAGAGCTGAAGGGAGCATTTGCATTTTCTGAGCTAATCAAGATGACGTAGACCAGATCTCTGTCCCAGATCCATAAACTCCTCTCCTGTTTTCAGATTAATCTCTCGGATTTGATCCTTTTCTTACCTAAAACTTTGTTTTAAGGACACTGCCTACGAGCCAGTTTTGCCAGTTTTAAACCTGTCCACGTACGTACTCTGACTATTGACTGGTCAAGGATTTGGGAAGCAACTTTGATGCTTTATGGATTTCTTGTTGCTAACACACTTGGGAGACTTTTTTTTTTAATTTAGATAAACCAAACAAATGCAAAACAGGGAGACTGTGAAGACAGAAAAAGGGGGGGAAAGGTTAGATATAATTTAGACAAAAACTTCAGCATAGTCAGTGGCAAGGAGGTCATTGGGTAACCTGGGCAAGAATAAGCGTGGTAGAGTGACAGGCCCAGAAACCGTGTTGCTCTTTGGCGAGGGGGTAGAAGCCCAGAAGGACGTGTGACCAGTCTCGCTGTCGGTGACAAAAAGCAATGACTAGTACTGAGAGAGGAGTCGCGGTTTTAGGATAGATTCTTTTTCTATTCATAATTATTATTAGCATATGTTAGATGCTTACTGTGTAAGCACTGCTGTTACTTTGTTTTGTATATACTACTAAAAACTCTGTTAAGATTAGCGTTTACAGAGGACAGACGGTGGCACAGTACACCCCTCTGTGAGGCTGGACCCACATGGGAAGACCCCAGGTTCACACCTGAGACTTCCCCACAAATAACAGGCGTGTGTGTGCCAATGACCCAGGGCTGCCTCAGGCTAGCGGTGCTCATGGTATCAGGACCATGTTTGGGGTGCTATCTCTCCCCCAGAGAAGAACTAATGCATAAACTTGAATATATATATATATATATATGTATGTGTGTGTGTGTGTGTGTGTGTTTATTAGCAAGGCAGCTCTGCCTATGGACAGGATAGCATTTAATTGTAAATAGTAATAAATGCTCTAAAGGGAAAGAAAGACTTACTGATGACTAGAAACTGTGTTGGTTAATCTCGCCATCTACCCAAGTAAAATACAAACTCTCAAATCCATTTTTCTTGCTTTAAACATGGGTACTCGGTATAAGTAAGTAATGTACCACATAGACAGCGAAGAGCAGATCACGTGAACAGTACGTTATATAGGTAGAGGGAAAAAATAGAACAATGAGAAGCAAAAATACCTTCAGAAATTGAGTTTCATCTGTTCACCGCACCGTGGACTTCCAGTGGTTAGCACTTCTCAATAGATTGGTCTTCCTTGCAGTCACGTCTCTGAAAGATCGTGGGCAAAGGTGAGCTGAACTGGAGAGAATAAGGACATTAATAAGCATGTCACTTGCAGAAGCTGGGGTGGCTTGGAGCAGTAGCGACTCCTAGACCTGTGGCTTCCCTCCTGTGGAGGCACAGTGCTAGTTACTTGGCCTTGCTGTTCTGGTCATGTGTGGGCACAGGCACGAGAAATGGGTGTGTTCGTTTGCGTGTCTTTCCGGAGCACAGGTGAAGAAGCACTTTTATCAAGACAGAATCTCTCATTTTAAACATGTCTTCTACTGGGACCCACAATAGACAAAATAATTTTTTTTGATGTTTTTTTATGCACCCATAAGGGACCAGCAGGTGGTGTAGTGGTTAAGGCACTAGACTCCCTCATGGCTGACCACTGTTCAAGTTCCAGACCTAGTGGCTTGAAACTCACCAGGCGCATGTGCATGCATGCCTAAAATCTCAAAAGGAAAATGGAGAAAGGATTGTGGCATGGCCATCCTCCATGGGGGGTGGTGATTTCTCACTTTCCCTCTCTTTGTCTCTTTCTCTCCCTCCAGCAAGCACATGTGCCCTGTAGTAAAAATCTCTCCACCAAAAAAAAAAAAAAAAACAACAAACCATACATAATATCAAAGTAATAGATTCAAGATTTTATATGAGAAAGCAGTAACCAAAAGAAGCATCTTCCAGTGTCACATAAGACAAGATGACCGTGTTGTTTTAGGAAATCAAATCCTTTGGAAGGAAATCAAAGGGAATAAATCACTGAGCTTTTGTGGGCCCCACTTTTCCATCTGAAAATTGAGATGATTCTAGAATGTTTTTAAGATTTTTTTTCTGTCTCTAGCTCAGTATTTTTCTTTGCCCAGTCATAACATTTGTTTATAATAAATAAAAAAAGGCATGTTACCTTTGAGAGTAACAGGACAATTTGGAAACAAATATGTAAAATCAAAGATGTGAGGAAAATTAGGAAGAGGGCGTGAGGAGCCTGATCACACATAGCCAGGCACAGGTGTCTGGGGAACTTTCATATCAGAGAGAGACTCTTGGGGGATGTCTGCTGGGGTTGCAGCACTCCTCCAGCAAAGCTGCAGTATATGGCTGGACCCCCACAGTTTCTCCAGCCCTTCGCAGGCTGGCTTTGCTTTAGCCCAGGCATGCCCTGCCCAGGCACTAGCGACATTGCAGCTGGGTGATTCTTTATCGTGAAGGCTGTCTGTTGAATCGTAGGTTGTTCAGCAACACTCCAACTAGACACCAATAGCATCTCAACAGTTGTAATAACCCAGAATGCCTGCAGACTCTGCTAAATGTCCTCTAAGGTCAAAACCCACCCCTTTGGGCCATCAGGTGGCTTGGTGGGTAAGGTGCTGGACTTGCACATGTCTGACTGCAGTTTGAGTCTGGGATCTGATGGCTTACTTTCTCGCTTTCTCTCTCTCTCTCTTTCTGTCTGTGTCTTGCTGGTGAAGCCATGGACCTTATGACAAATTTTTAAAAATAATAATAATAAATAAAATTAAATAAATAAATCTTGGGGAAAAAAATCCACCCACCTCCTCCGGTTGAGAACCACTGCTTCAGTCCAGCAGTTCTAAATCCATGAGATTAGCCATCTTTCTTCCTCCATACACCCCAGCCTGGCTATGACTCCCCCAATGCCAGAGCCTCTTGTCTAGTTTCGTTTTACCAAATGCACGTGTAACAGGGTAAGTGCACAGCAGTAACATTGTTAGGGAAAAACTCAACATCCAATTAAAAGATTGTTTGGTGTGTTTTAAGACACAGGTTCGTCACCCTGTCATTTGTGAGCTTTAATTTAATTTATTCTTGTTTTCTATCCAAAACGTATTAGCCTTAATTATTAAAATTGATTATTGCCGGCACTGCCTGCTGCAGAGAGAACAGCTCTGCAGTGTAGGAGTCGTCACTTTTGCTAGCTGTTTTTCACGGTGGTGTTGCCAGAACACATTTTTCTTCTGTTGGGGGTGGAAGACTAGTTGGAAAACTCAGGGTTTGTTTCTCCTTCTGGCATAGCTCTCCATAGTATTCCATAGTTGCCCCTTCGAGGGTATATTCAGAACTTCCCTTTCTACCCACCAGAGTAGGCACTTTGAATAATAATGTGCACAAGAATTATCTGGGACTTTTATGAAATGCCCTCCAGGAGCTGAGCTCCAGCCCAGGCTGGAATGCCTGTATTTCTAGAGCACACCATGACCTCCCACAGGTGTTGTGGCTCAGATCAGACCTTGTGGTAGTCCTTCCTGTGGGCCTTTCACTGTTTCTCTGAGACTGGATGCCATAGACTGGATAACAGCACATAGTGACAGTGTTTTCCTTTTGTTTTCGTCTCTGAATTTCAGCCTTTCTCTTGTGAAAGGTTGAAGCAATGGATTATCTCTAAATACTAGATACTACTTGGGACCAGGCCTTATAATAAATGCTGATCAGAAACACAGGAGAGTCCTGAACTTGCTTCTTGTTTTGAAGCCACCCTCGCCCTCACTTTATCCCATGGCTGAACACAGTAGTGCTTAAGGCCAGACGCATGGGGTGCCATCTGGAGCTGTAGGGTTTTCGACGAGGAAGTCATTCTTGTGGCTTCCTCCCTGGGAAGAACCATGCCCTGCCCTTCCCACCCCACCCAGCCCTTCACTTTCTGTCACAAAGTCCCATCACTCTCATCTCTTTACCTATAATCCCATCCGTGCTCTTCGCTTTAGACTTTGTCACCTTTTACTTAGACTTCATCAATACTAAATGTATAAGCAGCTATCGTCCAATATAAAGGGCCTTCAAAAAGTTCATTTGAATGTGTATTGTGAAAAAACTATGCATGGATTTCAAGTTTTTTTGCTCTAAAACTCATCATTCGTTCCCATTTTTCTACATACTTTTCAAAATATTCATTTTTTTCTATTTGGTCATCAGTCATGATCTATTTTACTCTTTTTCTATGCAAAAAATGTGTCATGACCTTCCCTACGACCCAATAAATGTCATTCCCTGCTGTCAACCTAAATATGATGAATGAAAAAAAATTATAAAAGAAAGCCTATAAATAGTTTTTAAATATAGAGTATAAAACCTACAGTTCATACTTATGTATTTATGGTTATGTACTTTTGTATAGGAAGGAATGCAATAAGTAGAGATGTATAGGGAATTCAACGTCCATATTAAACTTTATTTCTTAAACTAAGTGTTAGTGCATGAGTGTTTTTATATATCATTCAATATGACTTTTTGTATATTTAAAACATTTTACTGACAAAAAAAGAATGCATCATGTTTTTACTTTTTGAAGTGATCTAGTCACTAAACATCTTTTGTGGAAAGTTCTATTAAGTAATTTACTCACTACTGTAAATATACAAGGTAAACAACTTTGAAGAAATAAAACCTATTGATATAGTCTTAGCTCAGACTGCCATGGGCAGTCCTATAGAATGGGTGGTTAAACAGCAGACATACATAGGCTCACAGTTCTGGAGAATGGATGTCCAAGGTCAAGCTGCATCAGGACTGGTATTTGGGGAGGGCTCTCCTCTTGGTCTGTAGATGGCCATCATCTTGCTGTGTCCACGCATGGCCTTTCTATGGTGAAGACATGCCCAAAGATCAAGCTCTCTGGCATCTTTTTTCATAAGGATGCTAATTTTCAGATTTTAATCAGATCAAGGCCATATCCTTAACAACTTCATTTCACTGCTATAATTACTTCCTCAGACGGCTCCATCTTCAAGTACAGCTACACTGTAGGTTAGGACTTCAACATAGGAATTTTGAATGGACTCAGTTTTTCCATACATAGTCCATAGTCTTTTAGAGGGAAATTGTAGATGAATGATAAATGGTAAATAAGACTGCCTGAGCATTCTTCATTGACTTTCAGCATTGTCTGTGCACAAATAATAGGTCTAGAGATGTACGTTAGCCATCTATAAATTTTCTCTCTAAAATTTCAAGTAGATTTCTCCCCCTTCCATACTTTTCTGGGACTTCTTTGAGTGTTGTGTTTTGTTTTGTTTTGCTCTCACTGGTCTTTAAGAATGACTGTTCTCTTTCTTTCATTTCACATGTTCCTATCCCTGCTCTTGGTCATTTTTTCCACTTAGTCATGTTCTCTGCTTTCTATTTATCATTGCTTTTTTCTATGTTGATGTCTTTAGACTTGCAATTTTATTACTGTTTGGCTTTTAAGATGTGCATTGTCACAAAAGTCCCTAAACACTATATGTGGCTTATAATCTCTGGATATTTTTAAAATTTACAGTGATGTTATATAATCTTTATTAGTCATAATTATTCATAATATGATAGTCTTTTTAATTATCCTCAAAGTACAATAAAGTTTTTATATTCTGAAACTATAGTGGTGTTAAAGTATATGATCACCTAGTGTAATCACTTTCTCATCATTTGCCTTCATCCACTTATTTCTTACTAGACATGCAAAACTGACAATAAAGAATTTGAATCATTTGCATGAGAAAGTGGAATAGTGAGCAGTCATACAATTTTAGGAATGCAGGAGAATTCCAATGTCATTGTCTCAAGAACACTCCCATTCTGCCAGAGAGTTTAGTAGCATATCTTTTTAGTTAGCTTATTTTTGCTCAGGTGATAGAAATGGTGCCCATCCAATGGAAATCCTTTGACATAGGGTCAACTGTATATCAGTGCGGATTGCATATGGTCATGCTGTTCATGCAATAATCTCTAAATAAGTACCTCTCAACTGAATGACTACATTGGGTCAATAAAGTTGGAGAAAATAAGAACCTCTGTTATTTGGGAGGGAAAAAACAGATATTGCTGCATTTTGCAGAATATTATCTGCTATGGGAGAATTATTTTGACAGTATTGCTTGTTTTAGAGAGGAAAATAAGATGCTCTAGACCTTCATTCATTGTGGTAGGCAAAGAAGCCGGCAGAGGGACAGAACCTGGGGAATGCTGTGTGCACCCGCAGGCCGGGACCCCAACTCTTCTGCTGGTCTTGTCCTTCAAGGCAACTCTTAAGAATCCTGGTCCCACTTTGTGACAGTGACTCCTGAGAAAGAACTCGAGAGTGCTGGTCTTGTGACAACCTGCCTGCCTGGGATACTGGCTTGGTGGCCCTCTGGAAAGGAACATGCAAACACTGGTCTCAGAAAGTTGGGGAGATGGCAGCAAGGGGCACACCGAATGTTGGAGTGAATGAAAGTCATACTACATACACGATTCTTTAGAGCACTCTACACATTTTTGTTGGTGTATTTTCCAGGTAGTAAATCTCTTAATAATTTCCTGCAGGAGGAGCAGCTGAAATCTCACGAAAGCAAGCTAAAACAGATCACCACGGAGCTGGCGGAACATCGCTCATATCCTCCCGACAAGAAAGTGAAAGCCAAGGACGTAGACGAATACAAACTGAAAGATCACTATCTGGAGTTTGAGGTATGTTGGACCTAACTGCTTATCACTGAGTCATCTCGCGACTGTCTGTGAGGCAGAACATTCCACAGTTACATTAACTGTGGGAAGCACGCCATGGCACTGGCTCCCACATGGGAACTCCGTGCACGGTTTAGGTCATGGTGGCTCCTCACGTTCGTGATTCTATTTACGTGTGAATCAGACATCAGCGAGTAACTGTCATGGCCCAGCCACGGTGACAAGGCCATCCCACATACTCTGCAGTGCCAGAGGCCACGTGGAAGATCTGAACGTGGTTCCAGGGCCGACCTGTATGTGCCGGCGTGATCCCGGGAAGGCTGCGGGGAGGATTGCAGAGTGAGACCCTGCTCAGGGTCCTTGTCTTTCTCTTCCGAGGGAGAAGTAAGTAAACTTTGAAGAAATAAAAAGAATGATTTGCCAGTTTGTGCCCTTTCAAACAAACGATCCGCCTGGGTGGGATACCACGTGCCTGCCGTGAGGAGATGTAAAGTTCGGCAGAGGGATGTGCCGGGGACAGCTGCTTTCTGTGTCCCCGTGTCTCCCCACGGTGTTTGACTTAGAGGGCCGTGAAGGAGCCGAGCCCTGGGTGATGTCCGGCTGCCTGCACGTGCCTGCCGCTGGGCACCACAGTGCATTCTGCTTCGTCGTGCGCACTGTCCTTCGGAAGCCTGGATAGACCAGGTCGAGCACCTCTGTGCTATAGGGAGCGTGTTATTAACAGGAATGGCGGAGACCGCATGCCGGGGTGTGCAAAGGTGGAGAGTGTAAAAGCAAGTTGACAGGAATGTGTTCCCGGGTTCACAGCTGAGTTATGTGGACCTCTGACTCTCTGCTGAGGGCCAGCCGGGGACATGCTGGTTATGGGCGCTGGATCCCACATGGCTGACTGCCGTGTTTGAGTTTGGGGCCTGACGGCTTGAAAAGCATGCCCGAAATCCTGAAAGGAGAGAGAAGTGGGGGGAAGGGATTGCCCACAGCCCACAGTGGTGCTGTCCACTTTCCCCTTCTCTGTGTCTCTCCAGCGAGCATGCACACCTCATGCACACCTCATGCACACCTCTGGCAATTTTTTTTAAGTGTCCTTTTTTTTTTTTTTTTTTTTTGAGCCAGGTAGCAGGTAGCCAAGAACAGAGCCATTGATAGCCTTTCTGCTGACTCCAACTCTAGTTCCTTTGCTTTCTTTTCCTCCCTCTCCTTCATTTCCATCCCGCCCTCCTGTTTCCTCCAGACTTGAAACTTTACATCCTCTGGGCACGCACTGCCTGGCCAGTGCCCTGTGTATGCCGCCCTCTCCCCACCTCACCACGGCGATTGTTCTGGCGGTGCTCTTTGAGGCCTGGCCGTCTGTCCCGCTGAACCTGGCAGGTGACCCTGGCTTCTCTCCTTCCTATAGTTTATCCGGTGTCCTTATGTCAATCTTTTTCTGAGGCTCAGCCCAGCTTCTGGTGTCCTCTGACAATAGCCAACCTTGGATTTACCCAAGCCTCCCCCACCACCCACTTACCTTCCGAATCAAATCCGAGGCCTCAGTCTGAGAGTACCTGGCACCCACTCCGTCCCACAACATCAGTTTTCCCACAGCAGCCTCTGTGGGCTCTACCAGGCTTCTGCTCCCCTCCGAGACACATGCCGATGCCTCTGTTCATCGCCTTTCTCCTGCCTCAGACGATCTTTCTGTCATCCTCAGTTCTGAGAGTCCTGCTCATCTTCCAAGGTGCAGCCCAGATTGCCCTCCTGAAAAACCTGCCCTAGATCTGCTGGCTGGGACTGAGCTGTCCTAGTCGTTGTGTCACAAATATTTCAGTCTGTCTTTATGTCTGTAGTGGGTTCCAAAACACCTCCCCTTGCCCAGGACTGGGCGTCTTGGAGGGTAGAGGCTGCATGTTCGAATGCAGCCTCTGCTCTGGGCCTGCTCCTTCAGTTGGATGGGATCTCACAGAAGCCTAGAGTCTCTTCCTGAGTTAAAAAATTTCTTGTTATCGAATGCGGCATTAGATTCAAAAGTGGCACTTCTGCTGCAAATGCCTGCACCTTGCTTCCTCAAGGTCAGGTGAGTCATTGCTCAGAGCAGATGACTGTCCCAAGAGAAACCCTTCCTGTGGCACAGGTAAAATCTTGTCAGCAAAAGCCATAGAAGACTCAAGCAAAAGTCTTGAAGAAAATATTAAAAAGAAAACCACGACAACAATAAAAAAATAAAAACCGAGCAACCCATTTTTCCCCAGTCGTGTTCATTCTTGGGAAATGGGAGTTCTCAAAAAGCAATCATTAACCTTCACACTTCCAGAGTGGTGTCAAGCCATGGGCCCCATTTTCTTTCACACATTCTAATTAAATTTCCCAGCTCCTCAGTCCCCCGTGTCCAGCCTCAGCGCCCGCGTTGAGTCATTGACTCTGAGAGAGAGGAGCCTGTGCCCCGGAGGTGGGGGTGGCTGCTAAACCATGGGAAGGTCGTCACCTCCAGAAACACTCCCTGCTTTGCGATCTGTCGCGGTGCCCCTTTTCTGAAAACAAGCCAGTGAGCACAGCGTTTTCACTTCCTGATATGAAGTTAGACCAAGCTTTGCGGGGATTAAGTCCTCCTTTCATCAGATTGTCACCTCAGGCAGGTGCAGATGGCATTCAGGGACCCTGGGCTCATTAAAAGTCAGACTCCTATGCTAATGCTGCAGGATGTTGGCTTTGCCATCAGCTACATTAACCTGTGTCTTCAGGAAGACAGAAGGTACTTCATACCACACAGACACCATCTAGAAAGATCTATGTGAATATTGTGTGCTTTTGGGAACCAGCAGTTAGCGTAATGGCTATGTCGTTGGACTCCCACGTGGTCGACCGCGGTTCGCGTCCCGGACCCGGTGGCTTAAAACTCATGCCGGGAGCATGTGTGTGCACGCCCAAGATCCCAAGAGGAGAGTGGAGGAGATGGGATTGCGGCGTGACCATCCCCTCTGGGGGGTGATTTCTCACTTTCTGTCTCTATGTCTCTTTCTGTCTGTCTGGCGAGCACACGCGCCCTATAGTGAAAACCTCTCAAAAAAAAAAAATTGTGTGCTTGTGTGTGTGTGTGTGTGTGTGTGTGTGTGTGTTTAACTGAGCCATCGTTTTGGGCTGACTTAAAATCCAAGCAGTGTATCATCTAAGCATCTGTCACCACTTTGCTGACATCAGCCCTCAGGACTTGTCCCCTGTGAGCGCTGGTGGAGCTCTTCACCCAGCATCCTTTGCTTTATCAGCAGCGTTCTTTGAGCTTCCTTCCTGGACAGGGACTATGAGAATTACTGGTCATTTTGTATGACTTTCTTCACAGCTCTGTCCTCAGCTTCTAGAATATTGACTGATACATATTTATTGAGTGAATTCATGACATTTTATTACTGTGTACAAAAGATAACACTAGAGGATGAAATTATTGGAGAAAATCCAGCTTGAATTCCTTGTACATAGCCCCAGGCTCCCATGAAAACAAACGCAGTAGGCAGGTGCAGTCAGACAGCATTGTCTGAGCTCACTTCTCAGGAGCCCTCCAATGGGCACTCAGAAGGGGGCCTGAATCCTCCTGGGTTATCCACAGAAAACCACCAGGGGGACTCCGTTGGCTTCAGATCAGGTCTTGCAATTTTCACAAGTCTGGCTAAAGAAAAACACTTTTGTTTTGGCGGAATATTAAGCCCTTAGTAATAACACCAGGAGTGTTCCCAGCTTTCTTCATTTCAGTTGTTTATATTCAATGTTGCTTTGAATACAAAAAATTCTCCTTGGTGAACCAAAGTCACAGTTCTTTCTATGCCTTAAAAATGCTCTTAACTGTGAGTGGCAATAAATAATTAGAAATTCTGATAAATACATAGGTTGGGAGGATCTAATAGATATATGCAGAACATTCCATCTGAAGCAATAGAAGGATACACATGCTTCTCAAGTAAAAATGGAACATTCTGTAGGATAGATCATATGTTAGACTACAAACTAGTCTTAACAAATTTAGGAAGATTAAAATCACAAGTGTCTTTCAACCGCAATGGTGTGAAACTAGAAGTCAATACCCTAGAACATGAAAATTCACAAATATGTGAAAATCAAGCAACATACTCCTGACCAAGAAAAAAAATCAAACTTGAAATTTTATAAGATACAGAGACAAACACAAATGGAAAAGCAACATAACATAAAGCATGAGATGCATAACAACCATTCTAAGAGAGAAGTTTATAGCAGTAAATGTCAGAAGAAAGAAAGCTCTCAGGCAACCTCACATGACACCTCAGAGAACTAGGAAAAGGTCAAACTAAGTGCAAAGTTATAAGAATCAGTGGAACTTGGCTCAGCAGGTGGCATGGTGGTTAAGGGCACTGGATTCTCACATAGGTGACTATGATTGGAATCCAGGACTTGGCAGCTTGCTTTCTCCCTTTCCTTCTCTCTCTCTTCCTGCCTGCCTGCCTGCCTGCCTGCCTCTCTCTCTCTTTTTCTCTCTCTCTCTCACACACACACATCAAATTAAAACACATGGAATTAAATAAATAAATCGTTTTTTTACAAAAAGAATCAATAAAACTAAACATGTTTTTTTGAGAAGATAGACAGAATTGACAAACTCTTAACTAGACTAACCACAAAGCAAAAAGAGAAGATTCAAATAAAATCAGAAGTACAATCAGTACAACGGACACCACAGAAATAGAAAAGATCATAAGAGACTGCTATAAAGAATTGCATACCAACAAATTAAATAACCTAGAAGAAATAAATACATTTCCAGGTACATACAACCTGCCAAAACTGACTCATGAAGAAATAGAAAAATCTGAACAGATCAATAGAGAGTAAGGAGATTGAATTAGTAAAAAAATCTTCCATCAAAGAAAAGCTCAAGTCCTGATGGCTTTACAGCTGAAGTCTACAAAAAAACACTTAAAGAATTAATACCAATCCTTTTCAGTCTCTTATTTAAAAAATTTAAAAGGCAAGAACTTCTTCAAACTCATTTGTGTGGCTAA